ATATTATATATTATATTATATATTATATATTATATTATATTATATTATATATTATATTATATTATATTATATATTATATATTATATTATATATTATATTATATATTATATATTATATTATATTATATATCATATTATATATATATATATCATATTATATTATATTATATTATACAATATATATTAATATGATACAATATAATGTAATATATATAATATACATTAATATACAGTAGATGGTGTGTACTGGCCAATAGATGAGCTGGTACATTCAAAACCTTCTTGTCGTACTTGATTGCCCTGATTTCCTACAGTCGCTATCCAGGGCTGCCTCCTCTGCTTGTCTGGCAGCAGCTTTTCGCTCTTCTCGCTCCTTTACCTGATGAGGATCCAGTGGAATGCAACGCCACAGGAGATCTGAGATGGGATTGATGGGATGAGAACTATGAATGACCAAGGCATCGGATGTTTCTCCTATACATTTCAATGATAACAAAACTCTGGCAACTGAGGCGAGTCTACTCTCTCATAGCCATGTAGTGTTGTGTTTCACTAGCATGGCTGAGCAAATTGTCTGCAGCTTTCATTGAACTTCTATGAAGGCAGAACAAAAAGTTCTTCAGCACCCAGCAAAACCGCTCTGATAATCGTTGCAGATCTTGCCCTCAGTCCTGATCAGCCTTCTGCTTGTCTTTTTGTGCACGGTCTCTTTGATTCTTTTCGATGTTCTCCTTCAAATGTAGAATTACTTCCACAGTCTCAAGATCTCAAGTAACATCTCGGAAATCCTACTGGACTTATTGTACTTCCTGCCCACCTGCTTGCCCGCATTAGATACTTCTAGAGAAGGGCAAAAGGGTCCAAGTACATCCAAATACAGTAGTATGTCAAATGTGATGATAATGTGATGTAATGTATGTGCAAATGATACTCTTGCTCTCTCACATGCTGTCTCTGCACATCTATTTGTGCTCCTTCATCTGCTGCTTCTGGTGTGCAAGCACTCTAGGGTCTCGTTTCTGAACAAACCTGAAAGTAACAACTGTCTTTTCATTCACAATATCTATGGTCGGCTCAGTGGAAATCTGGGGGAGACATCGCATAATTTAGAATCATCTTGCTGCTCAGTTATGCTATCTGCCGGACATCAGAACGTTCAGAAAGTAGGGATGGGACTTCACGAGTTGCCGGACTTCTGCATTGAATTCCTTTTTCGCTGCCTTTCACACAGGCGTGGCAAAATATTCAGAGCAGTCTGCAGACAAAAAAAAAGCAAAACGTGCGCCTGTCTTGCCTTCTTGTTTTCCTCATCAAAGCATCAACCACGTTAAACATGGCACACCCGGATATCTCCGTGCGTCACCCTGGTATCGCGGAAATTATCGTTTGGAGTTCTGTCTCATAAGAAATTTGCCTGCTCCATTGCTCTCCGAACTTGGCGGTTCTGGGCCTCTTTCGGGTTCCACCTTGTCACAGATAAAACAGCTCAATAATTCAAATCAGTGAGCTTTATAATACGTATACCATGTTATCCGATATTGTACAATTGTATTCAAAACGTTCGCTCTCTGGGCCATCTTCTTATGCTGTAAGTCTGGACAGGTTTGGACACTCTCCGCATACCAAAGACATCCAAAGACCCACGCTGGTCTGCGTGGCCAAAAGCCTTGCAAAATCTTGAGGAAGACAAGGACTGCAATAAATTGGCAAAGAATCATATCAAAAGGCTTTGAATGTCCATGCCTTTCTTGAGCAGAACTCGAGCCAGTTCCTGGCAAAGATCGAAACAATAAACGCCTTGAATATATTTGAATATCCTATTACTATCACAGAAGTACCGGAGCACCTGTAGAATGCAGCGACGTCCGCCCACTCTGCATCTGATCGTCCAAAAGGAGGCATCGCAACATGCTCTTCATCAGCATCCTGGCAAATTGCAAAATAAGTCCAGTCTTTGAAAAAAATCGAACACTAGTCCATGCTATGTCCATGCTCGGCGATCTTGTGCGAGTTGCAACTGCCACTAAGTTTGCTTTTCTCCTGTACCTTCATACATTACTTCTGAACTCTGAACGCATTCACAATGTTCAAATGCAACGTACAATAGTCAAAGGGGAACTTCCAACTCTATTGGCCCCATCTTAAAGTGCACTTGTGAACGCTGTGCGAGTAAATTCAAAAAGGCTGCAATACCACAGTTGGCAGGTGGACTGGCCTCCCACTGTTCCTCCTCTGCATCAATTGCCTCTCACAATGTGCTACATCCGGAACTTTCATCTGGGACAGCCAATTTTCAGTTATCTGCCTCGAACAACTCGCGATATACTGCGAAAAAACCTTGAGAGTCATCACCAAATCCTTCAAAGCAGGAGACACCTTGGTCAAAGCAACCCTTCTGAGCGCTGAACTCAAAATATATACTTTGACGCAAATTTTGGATTGCACATTGGCCAGCATCATGTCATTTCCTGTAGTCACTGTGTACGCAGTGTAATTAGAATTGTTAGTGCCTGTTGCTACCCTTGCTTCTTCAAAAACCCAGTGTCACAGTGTCAATGTCGCACGCAACTGCTGACCCAATGCTCTCGGACAGGCACTGAAATACTTGTAGAGATTGATTTTCGTCTTGAAAGGGTCCTTCTCGGAAAGCAAACAAAACAAACAAAGCGGACAAAGCACAGAGGGCAAGGACTCGAACGAGCAACGACGAGCAACGACAAGTTGCGCAAGGACTTCGCGAAGATCGTGAAGCAGGTGCCTCGCCGGGCCCATCATCGCCCCTCAGGATCTGTTCTCTGTGAGCGTCATACCAGGCTCTCTCCTGCCCGAGCTTCAGAACTCTAACTCTACTCTGGCCACCTCTGCCCTCATTGATCTGTTTAATTTGTGCAAAACACTGCAAAATGCAAATACAATGCAATACATTTACGATCTTCTAATATCTTCCATGATGTTTAGCGACGTTTTGCGTGTCACTCCTGCGCATCCGACAGAACCTAAGCTGATCAACGAGATTCAACGAGCATCCTGAAATGACATCCGAGATCAAAGAACCCAACTGTGGACAGCTACGCTTTGAGGGCAGGAAACTATAGTATCTGAGTGGCTCACGGAATAGGCTTCTTGAATCTGCTGAAATCTCTTAGTTGCTTCCTCCGGACCTGAAAGAATCACAGCAAATTGATGCAAATTGCCTGATGGAGATTGATTCAAAAATGGACTCAGATCACAAGCCCATTAACCGAGAACATAAACTCAGAGCATCTGGCACATTCCATTCTGATGGGCTTTGTCCGGGTGCATGCGCAGAGCAAGCCTGAGTTCAACGAAGGACAACCCATGCGTAGTAGAAGCAGCACTTTCCATAGGCAAAGTGTGAAACGGAAATGCAGGGACCATCTGGAAACTCAATTGATGTGGAGGTAGGCCCAGATAAAATTGTTCAAAGTTGGAGGTTCCTGAGACAAATGGACAAAATATCCAGACCATTGGACCATATCCAGACCCTTGGTCCGGGAGTATTCATGACTCGTTTAACTGACTCTTTCAAACTTTCAAGCCGAGCAACTTTCTGTATGTAGCTTTGATCTCTCCAGCATCACACTTTCTGTCCACACCTTGGAATGTCAAAAACATAAAACTCTGTCACAAGTTGCGAGAATTTTTGGCAGTCTTCTGAACTGCTTATCTCTGGCTCTTCTGAGTTCATTGCCCAGCAACTCATAGTAGCAAATCCTGACAGGAGCAATTCACAAGAAATTTGGATGCGTGGGCGCCACAAACTTCAAGTTTCACCCGGGACTCTTTTTATCTCTTTTTTACTTGACTCATACCCTGAAACTTTTCCACCAGATGGAGGCCCTAGGAACTTAGCAGTGGATAAGAAGCAACTTAGAGTCTACAAACTGGTAATGTCCATGCCAGTGATTTTGCCATGCATAAGACTGCGGTGTAACAATTGCTGCACATGCACAGGACTCTGGGACCGCATCGCAGGTTCATTCTTTGAGTCCCTGGCTTCTTTTTATCCGCTGAATCAGTCATGGCTGAATTCGTCATCGGATGTAGTGATGATCAGCCAGGAATGTGTCACTTGCAAATCACTGTACACTGTACACTTATACCAATACATAGAAATCCACCTTACTTGTATATTTATTGCAAAAGACGTCAGTGGAAGTCGTTTTGCAAATGTATATCATATATTTCATTGGCCATGGAAAACACTGTGACAATGGAAACTGTATGAAAAATGCTGCTACTGTTTATGGCTGTGTCTATGCACCTGATTCTGCAGCCCAAGATTATCAAGATTGCCACAGACAGTGTATATATTATATATATACAGTATCAGATAGTATGAGTGCAAGAATTCCTGCTACACTCTTCCAAAAAGATGGTAATACATGTTGAATGGCAGAGACATTGAATAAAATGCCATGACAGCGAAGTCAATTGTGGATCTGCACTGCATTCTATTTTGTCCTGCTGCATAACATATCTAGCACTTGCCAGCGCAACAGAAGTCGCAATCGAGAAAGCACATTGATGCAACTTTCACATCCAGCCACAGCAAAGAACTGCTGAGTGCGGGAACTGGATCGGAGATATCTATATAAATTTCAAATTTATTCCAGGTTCACAAACAAGCTTGTGAAGAGGCTTCAGGATACCATTCTAAGAGCATACTGCGTGCCTTGTACTACAAAATTAGCAGGTCCAGATTTGTAGCATGCACTGACTGGTCACGACATATCATATCATATGTCTACAAATCATGACGAAGTGTTGGAATTTGAAACGTGTCGAGGCACCTTCAAAAGCGGTGCTCGCGCCAAATGTCCACAAGCCCTAAGCTTCTGTACGGCAGCGAACAGCTGAGGCTCGAGTCTGTAGTGTCGAGAATGCTCACATCTTTACATCTTTGTCCAGTTCCAATACCAAATATATCCGAGGTTGTTGGATTGCTCAAGTGGATCCTCTCTGCGCCTGTACTTTTGCCTCCTTTGTGCACTAGTCTGGACCATACTTACATATACGAGGACGGCGGGCATTTGTGAATTTGCTTCGAGTTTCACATGAGGTCTTGAAAACAAAACAGCATCATTCAGCTTCAGGTGGCTGCAATAGCCTTGCAATCTGGGCCTCACGTTCTTCGGCATCAACCCCCGAAAAGCAATGAGAAACAGAGGGGCAGCAATGCCATGGCAGTGAGGAACACAGTAACTGTCAGTATGTATGATTTTGATTGATCTTGTCTGAACTGATTTCTTTGGTTTCCTCCTCCTCACTTCTTCTGCACATTCCACAGTAGATCCACTCATCCGTGGCAACTCTGGACCCAGGTTCCCAGATGTTCACAGATGTTCCCAAATGTTCCCAGGTTCCCCACGTTGGGTCTGAATGAAAGCTGCGGTCTCGGCTGGCTGGGCACCTCAATTTTCTCAACTGAGGTTGCAAGCATCTGCACACAAAGCCATGGCTGGGTTTTTGCAAAAACAAAGAAACATGAAAAATCAAAGTACAGCAAATCCATATCGGATCTGACACCGTTTCGGGAGTTCGTTTTACAAAGCCCTACGTCGCCAGAAGGAACATGAAGTAGCAAGAAAGGTCTGCAGTCGTTTTTTCTGTGCAACATTTTGTGCCCTAGGCACTGCGGCTTTGGCATCAAGCTTTGTATCCAATTCGAGAGAGCTGGCACGGTCGGATTTCTCTTCACACCTGACATTCGCATCACATTAGTGCATTAATGGTATGTCAAGTTCATTTCATGTCTATGGCAAGTGCTGGATCTTCCCGTCATTGCATAGTCACTTGATACACACACAAAAAAAATCAAGGCCTAATAATAACAATTCACATGTAAGGCAAATCCAGGTGAATAAAAACATATAAACATATATAAACTGGTTTGGGATGGTTTGGGCATTGGGATCTTTCGAGATTAAAAAGCAATTGGCACCGGGCTAGCAGTACTGTCGAAGCGCCTGATAATCATCCCACATCCGAGGAAGAAGCCAAAACTGATAGCACCGCCAACCACAGAGACAGGCAATACCTAAGGAGACGGACAAAGCACTCTATGGTAGTCACAAAATGTCACAAATACTCAAGGTAGCGGTGGCAAAGCTGGGCAATGCTGTGCAGAGCTTGGTTCTGTGCAAAGCTTTCTCTGATCTGTACAAGGCGCCAAGAGATTTCTCTGCGTGACTGCCACCCATGCTCCAGTCAACAGGCCGAAGCAACCGCCAACTGTCGCACCTGGAACATGAACATCATGGACTGATAGGGACTAATAATAATTAACAACATGGAATGTCGTCCAACATCCATATTATTATGATTTATTATGTATATGCATATAATATACATCTCAGCCCTGATGGACCCAATGTGCCGCACATAAGTTTGGGACTGGTCATTCTGTGGCTAGGCCGCTGGCCCATCTTCGCTCCGAGTTGGATGTTGTTCACACACTGCAATACTCGAGGATTCTGAATCCATTGCCCTTGAGAGCTACCTCATCAAGGTTGTTTCGCGAGCGTTTGCAAGAACTGATCATTTTCAAGAACATCAAGAACTGAGCCTTGCATCTGAGAAGTGGTCAAACTCACTGCAAAGAGCACGGAAGAATTCATGAAGACTCCGATAGTGTGAGCATGCGATTTGCGGAATGTGACAGGGTCGATCTTTCGCGTTCTTTTCAACAGAGATTTTAGGGTCAATTCATGGCAATTCACTTCTCCTCGCATAGTGCGCGTCTTGGAGGCCATCAGATTCATGCACATTTGATCCATACCTCGAAAACAGTCAAATCGTCGAATCCAACTTAAGATCCAAAATGACGCAGTCGGAGCAAAAAAATGCAAAAAGTATACCACGTCCACAAAATGAAATTGGCCATCTCACATCCATACTGCCACAGGCACTTAGAGAAGTCAATGTTCTCATACTTGGTCGATGGCATAGCCTGTGGATGCTCACCAGGCGTTTCTTCACTGGACAAAATTGGGCGTGGAAGAATTACAGGCTCAGGAATGGGATGGAATAGGAGTAATAGAATTTCACAAGAAAAGCACAATATAGTACAATCTGTCATAATAATTGTAATTTCATTCATAATCTATCTATGTCAAGCCCAAGAGGTATCAAAATGTCATAGTCAGAACATGTCATAACATGTCACAGCACAAGTTGCAACGTTGCCACATCTCCTGCTTCCAAGTGGCTGGGGGCACTGGGGCAGCTGGTGGAGCTGAAAACTTTCTTGTTGCTGGGGCCGGAGCTGCCTCGGGGGGAAGTCTGGAGCACAAAGGAATAAATCCTATTAGTAAAGGTATTACATGGTATTACATGGTATTACATGGTATTACATGGTATTACATGGTATTACATGGTATTACATGGTATTACATGGTATTACATGGTATTACATGGTATTACATGGTATTACATGGTATTAATTACATGGTATTACATGGTATTACATGGTATTACATGGTATTACATGGTATTACATGGTATTACTATACAATATCAAATTATAAATAAATTATATAGATACACGATGATACAAGTAATAAATCTAATTTAGACGAATTTTACACAATTGTATAGTAGTGCATAGTATGTGATCAATAATTGATCAAAATCGATCCACATCGTGTCGAGCTGTGACACGAGTCTGAAAGTCAAAGTGTTGATAAGATTTGTGTCATGATGTTGCAAGTGTTCTCACACGGATGTCACTTGCCTAGACTATGCACATTTATGATATGTTATGATTTTGTATACTAGAACAGGCAGGAGCATTGTTGCTTGTCGGTCTGAGAATCCAGCATTTTGTTGGGCAGAACCTGGAACAGTCACAAAACGTGTGTGAAGCGGCCATGCCAATCTTGCCAATCTCACCTGCCTGATGTTATCCTGGGATGAATTCCTGATCAGAGCCTGAAGGTTCCGCCGGGGCATCTTCCGCCGGTGGTCGTCGCCTCATTTGAGCTGCACTAGCTTATCTAGTACTTATCTAGCTTGTAACATCTTGTAACATCTTGTAACATCATGTAACATTATGTTACTGTAACATTGTCAGCCTCCAATTGAATTCCGAAAAAAACCTGGTACCAATTTCCCACACGCTTCCTGAGACTCTGTCCATTGCATGGCTTCAAGCCTAAGTCGTTGAAGTTGACACATGACCGAAGCATCATCTGGGCAGCAAAAGCACTAAAAATCATGCTGTGATCGTGCAGCAGCAGTCCGAGGCTCGTGCTCTTGAATGAGGACTACCTACCATCGCCCGCTCCCAAACGACCTACCTACAAAACGACAGCAAAATAAAAAAAAGCGCCGAGGAGTCTGCTGCACATTGTTTACCAACTACACACTTCTGATGTGGCTGCACTGCTGAGCAAGCTGGGTTCACAAAGATTAACAATTCTCTCGATACTTGTTGCATCTTTTTGCTGGAGTGCGAACACATCGCTTGGGCTTTGCTTCCTTGACGAGGTTGCTCTGCATCCGCTCTGCATCCGCATCACTACATGACTCATCTTTGCTGCGAGTCACGCCAGTGACATCGTCAGATGATGATGAGGTACAGTAAGCAAGGGAGCACATCTTGACCGCGACGGACAAAGGTGACATCGGCTCCATCCAATGGCGAAGCTGGATCATGAGCAGCATGAGCAGCAATGAGCAACATACTCAGATTTATCGGAATGATCGCAAAGGTCGATTCAGGTCGATTCAACTTGTGACCATGTAGCACTCAACTTGTCTTTGCTTGACCAGCGCGCACGCTCTCTGGATCCAGTCGACCTTACAGCCAGGCTAAACCATGGGAAAGCCAGTTGTGCTCTGCTGTCTGTTCTCTGGAATCATAAAAAAAGAACTTACATATTGAGCACATATATATATATATTATAAATGAATAGAGTCGAAGAATATCGGTTCTATGGAAAACAAAGGGAGAAGCTAGTTATTCTTGTTCCCGAGATCTAAATTCTAGGCTGCAAACACATCATCTTGCCCAGAGTGCAGAAGGCGCGCAGCAAAGTGAGTTTCAGGTGTGCAGTCCTTAAACGAAAGTTTCCAGAGAATTGCTACGGCGACTATACATGACTATATAATACTATATACATACCTGACAGAGTGGACGCAAGTCAGGAAATGCTTGACTTTTCAGAACATTGACTCAACGAGGGGTGTTCTTCGAAGGTTTCTCTCTCTGGCTTTTGCAACCGCAGCAATGCTGAGGAACACACTCAAAAGGACGCCACGTCATCTCCTCCGCAAAAGACAGAGGAACCAGACAACACAACTAACCGCAACTAACAGACTAAGAAAAGACAATAACAAAAGCCAGCAGTGTCATGACAGTGTCATGAGTCCTTGGATTCACCAATACCGGGGGAAATCACGAAGCCCCAGTACGAAACCTTCCCGGCGAAGTTAGCACAATTGTGATCATTGCAAGGAAAGCTTGTCAACTGGGTGCCTCCGTGTCCCCATTTATCCTCTTCAGCCCTGGCCTCATCTTGGAAGTGAAAGATTCTGGTGAAAGTGGAGGAATGAAATGAAACCAAAACTGAGCTTCAGAGTTGATAATTCAAGAGCCAGCTGCTCCAAACTGTTGAATCAATATATGTAAGTCAGTGCTGAACTTCTGGTATTGTACAATCAATATATATATATATGATTATATATATATACATATGATTATATATATATGATTATATATATATATGATTATATATACATATGATTATATATATATGATTATATATATATATATGATTATATATATATATGATTATATATATATATGATTATATATATATGATTATATATATATGATTATATATATATGATTATATATATATGATTATATATATATATGATTATATATATATGTGTGTATTACCACACAGTGTCCGGCGCTATTTGCCGTCCAAGTACAGAAGGGCAGGTAGCTCTGCTTCAGGGACGGTCGCCAAAAGGCGCACAGTCCTGCAAAGATTCATTGTCTATCCTGCACTCCCCTGTAAGACGTGTACTATACATCCTCTATATAATCACTGGATAATCATGATCACTTCTGAACACAGAGTCTTCCGCGCTCCTCCTTACAGAAGCACCTTGGAGCACACAGCCCAAATTTCAACATCTTCAAACATATCACGCTAACAACTCACGGAAGTTCTACCACGGAGTTCTCAGTGTAACACTGACACCGTCTGATCCAAGGTTAGCGACGAAAGCCTCATGCTAGGGGTGACGCATCTTCCGCTCTTTCCCAGAAGGCTCACTCGTGTTGACTGATTCATCTTGATTCGATCTGTTTCCCATCACCAGCCTCCACAACTGAAATCAGCGATGCCTGGCTTGAAACACTCGGCAACTTTTGTCAGCCAAAGCTAGAAAAATGACCTCCAATAGCGACCAGGACAAGAGCTCCAAGTTAGCAGCCTCGTGAGAACATGATCAGACATATGACACAATTTGAAACAATTTGATGTATCGAGCTGATATTATCTGATATGCTGAATCAAGCCAAAGCAAGTTTGTGTATTTGTGTACCATCCACATCATCCACAACCTGCCTTGTTGGGATCCTCTAGGTCAAAGACCTTCGGATGGCGCTTGGCGTATGCACTTGCTCTATCTTGCTCTGGCATTTCATTTATTCTTCAGAGTTATATTATATTATATTATATTATATCTTTAGATACCATTCAATGGCCACACAGCAATCACACAGCAGATCAGCAGATCAGGCTGCCCCTCCTGATGTGAATCCATTGGAATCCTGGAGATCAACATAGCTTCAGATTCAGGCTTCAAGTACAGCGGGCATCACCACAGCTACGGTTTAGAGGGTGGCAGATATTTGCTCCTTGATCCTCGGAGGCTCAAAACCTAAGCAACAGCGTGCAAGACTGGTATAGGACGTCATCAACCTACAAATTACAATATCAGCATATTCCATCGAAGATCATGCAAGCAGCAAGTTTCCTCCTTTAGCCAGAAATTCATCAGAAAGCTCTGGGTTCGTTGCCCTGGCATGTGCCAATCGAAGCAGCCCCAGTTCAAAAGCCAAACCTGGTAGCTCTCAAAAAAAAGGCCGTCGAGGTCTGTACTATGACTATGACATACTATGACCATCTGAAACAAGTCTTTGACAACTTCAGGAACAGGCCACCAGGGATGATGCAAGAAGAGTCCTTCGACGCAGAAACAGGAAGCACAACACGGCACAACAGACTAGGACAAATATATCACCTGTTTGCTTTGGTCGCAATCCACCGGATGATAGATGAGACTCTCGACTCTCAAACAGGAACTGCCTGTTCTGCCTTCAGATAAGCAAAATCACAAAGAGTCTTGTCCTCAAGCGCAGGGATCGAAACCGCCAGGAGCCGCAGAATTGCAAGGCGATGCTCCATGGCCAGACCTGGTGCTGCGGTACTTGCAGTACTACACATGTGCACTACACGAGTGACCGAGGTTCTTGAAAAATCTATTACAAAAATAACTTGAGATGCCCCTTCAAATGTCTTGAGATGTTTGGGATTGCTTGGGCCTCTCTCGGTACACAGCATAGCATTTTGGTAACCGTCCAAGGTCAGGTCTGCTTGAAGCGGATTGCAACAACAAAACACCTGGCCGAAAAACATGCAACACAGGCAAGCGCAAGGTCAGGAAGTCACGTGCTCACCTTGTCCCAAGGATACAACATGATAGAGCAAGCAACGTAGGCTAAAAGTAACTAAAAGTTCTAAAGGAAATCCAACTGGTAAGAACAAAGTGCAAGTGCAGTGCTAGTTCTGCGAAGCGAGTTTGCATCTTCAGGTCTTGAACGCTAACAAATAGCGGTCAAACATGCAATCGAGGCTTGTGGGTGTCTTCTCGTTACACGGCTTGAGCAACCAGTATGCCTCATGTCAATCAAGAATTAAACACGCAAGTCTTTGAATTTGGGGACAGAAGCCCTCAACAAGCGTTCGGGTTTGTTGCTTGTCCACAATTGAGTCCAAAGCCCGGTTTCCAGCCAACATTGCAGAAGACCGCTTCAGGAGTGGCCTGGAGGTCTGGAGCTCAGACCAAAAACTTGACTTGTGCACAAGATGTCACGACTGCACCCATTGTACACATTGACATGCTTTCATGCCTCATCGATTCAATGGAGAATGTTGCTGCAATCAAGGAGGTCACATCCTTTGACAGACGCAGCATTGAAAAGGCCGATGACACCCAATGCGCTCAGAAGTTGTCAAGCTAAAGCTGTTTATTGCTTGCACACAGCAAAAAGTTGGAAGTAGAGTTTAGGCATCGAGCTGCACTTCCAGGTAGGATTCGACGGATATGGCCCACGCGTCCCTCAAGTAAGCTTAGCTCCTGGCATCAAATCACCCACAACGGCCACTTCTGATTCCAAGTCTCTGCAGAAGCACTGTTCATGCTTTCGGCATGTGACACTGGGCAAAGCCAAACCAGAAATCCCACCTCCTCATCCACCAAGTGTAGTAGGCAAATGCCACGGCGAGCCAGTGATCCGATCCACTCCTGGGCATCCCAACCCAGCAAGCAAGTACCATCAAACACCAGTACATACCAGTACATACCAGTACATACCGTATGCATCCGTATGCGACCGTATGTACATACCAGTACAAAGGATTCGAAGTGATTCGAAGTACTGCCTCGTGAACTTGTGATGCACACAGCACCAGTCGAACTCCAGCCTGCCATGGTACTCTTTGGAAGGTTGATTCAGTTGACTTCAAGTTGACTCCAGTCTTTGTTAGCCAGCTTTGCCCCTGCCCTAGCACTACATGAATCCAATATAATCATAATACAATCCAATTAGCATCCAATGTGTGTCACTGACCTGCCAAAGCTGTTCTGTCGCGAGAAGAAGTTGTTGATTGAGCCTGAACAGGTGTCCAGCACAGAATTGAAGCCAATCGATACTTTTTGAACCATATTAAGTCATCACCGCATAATATGACACAATAAAATACACAATAATCACAATAGACGTAACATCTTGCCACCCTGCTACGAGATGCTGCGAGTACAAGGGATGCTTCTGCTTGCCTTTCAAGTTCTTTTCCAGGCATAGTCACACGCACCTGGCGGTCATAACCCAAGGTCAAGGAAGCGAGATGTCATGGGCATTGGGCAATTCCATGCAACTCCCAAGGCCGCAAGGCATGGCAGAAGTACAGGCAAAGGCGCTACATTCTCATCGAAAACCGCAACTCTCCCTCCAGTGACTTCACCCTTCATTGCAGAATGAGCAAGCCTCGGAGTTCACAGCCAAACAGGGCAGATGGATGATGCAAAGGATCGGGAAATCCACATGAACATTTGGTGCTTCGATGATATTTCGATGATTTCTCCACGGTGCTTAATGTGCTTAGGTTTCTTAAAGGACAAGAGGCACATTCCACATGGCATTAGCAACTGTTCGCGGCTTGTATATGCTTGGCTATTTCAAGCTGCGTTGAGGGCAGCGCACTGCAGAAAAAACATGCTTGTTCTCCACAGTGGCAGAAGATTGTCCATCTGTCAGGCTCTACCCAACAGGCTGCTGCGATTGAAGTACTTGTTAATTTAATACTTTGACAGGCAGCAGTCCACAGCGTTCAGTTGGCCTGCAGCACTCATGCTGGGGCTAATGGCAGGAACCTTCTGTCCAGAATCGAAATTGAAAGGCTTGCAATTCGACAAATTCTTGAGTCATCTTGAGTCTAGCAGCTTGTGCTACTGTCAAGCAAGCAGCATATGCAAACATCTAAAAATGAACACAGCTTCACGACTGTTTTGTAGCCTTGAGGAATTCTCCACTCATCAGTTTCTTGGCGCAAGAAGCCAAGCGGTTTCCCTCCTTTGCTTCTGGCTCCTGAAGGTGAAGTAGGTTTGTAGCATGGCTGCTGCTTCGTTTCTCACAAGTCGTTTTTTCATGTTTTTTCATGGTTCTCTCTCTCTCTCTACAGTACATTCTTTTGTTATCTTTTGTTTGTTTTTTTTTTTTTTTTTTTTTTTTTTATTTTTTTTTTTTTTTTTTTTTTTTTTTTTCTTTTTTTGTTATCTTTTGTTTGTTTTTTTACAGTCTGTCGCATGTTTTCATATGGGTCAATGTTGTCCAATTATGTTTTCCCTCTGTGCTTCAAACATTGATCGTGCTTGCCACAGGGCGACTGTTATCCTCTTCGCAGTTAGACTTCAGCCAGTGCCAGCCTCTGGAGAAAAGTTGCAAAAGGTGCTGAGATACAAGCCACAATGACTCAATAATTGCTATATACTCGTTTTGTGTTTGAAACTCGATGGAGGATGATGGAGGTGTGTGTGTGTTTTTCATCCATGTTTGTGTCCAGCTTTCTCCGGCGTCTAAGATGAAAGTGGGTTGCAATCAAGCAGCACATCACGCTCAAGTTGCTGCTGACCTCAGTTCTTCCCGGACGGTTTTGGCTGAAATGATCCATGCCCATTCCACCTTTGAAGCTTAGAGACCTCAAGCGGGAAGTTGGCCCCAAAGAAAGTTCTTGCCAGAGTCAGAAATGCGGATTCTCTCTGTTCGGCTCGCCCTGTCCATCACTGGAAGGTCAAGCGAAGAGAAAATGGTCCCAGACACACTGGTTGAAAAATCTGCGGCAAAGGTGCTTGGTGTTTTTCTTGGTTGAATCTTAGCAATGGCGAATGGCAAGTACCACAACTTCAACTGGAGGAGGGCAATTTGCTCTGAGTGTGCGATTCTTGACTTTGGGAAGTACTCAATTTGCTTCAAGATGCTTAAAGTATACAGTGTCTGGCCAAGAGGAACTTTGTTCATAGTCTTGGATGGCAAGCATGCGATCGTATATTTTATGTTTATAAACTGTCCCCGAGGCAAAGCATCAAATGAGCAGTGCCCAAAAGTTTCATGCCCTGGCTTTGTAATGCTGAGCAGCCTTCGCGGTCTTTAGCGGCTCAAGTTTTTGCTTTTGCGATTTGCGAGAGTAACTTTGTATATATCACGTTTCACTTTCGCGGCACTTTGTCTTGCGCTCCTCTTTTGAACTTGCGAAAAGGGATGAACATGGATTTGTCCTGACCAGCGTAGATTTTCCAAATTTAGGACTAACAAGGCCAGTGCGCAGTACCTGCCCATATGACACTGCCAAGACTGGGAATGTCATGACTGTTATCTGCATAGTCGGTGTGAATCTGCCTGGCTTTGGACGAAGCTCATCCAAAAGCTTCACTGCATCCCGTAGTACCACTGCCTCAATCGCGAAAAATCAATGGCTCGACCCGCGACTCAAACTCGTCAAGTTGGCCTCAATGAACATAAAGCAGCGCGCCATGTCCTTGCATATCTTTCACGAGGCAATGGGATGGAATGGGCAGGATTTGCTAACTGTCTACCCTTCAAAGGCTACTTTTCAAAAACCTGCACAGCAAATCGCAAGCCAGTCCTGCCGACTGGCACGGCCATCTTTGAGTGCATGTGCGCAAAACTGAAAAGCGCCGTCCAGTAGAAGGGCCTTGCCAAAACCCTGGCTGAATGAATGACTCTGCATGGGTACATCAAGGGTACATCAAGGGAGACATAGATGCCGTATGATGCCGTCATACTCCGAAAGTGTACTCTACTCTGCGTTGGACGTGAATGCCAAGGAGCCAATGTCGCAGTTCCATCACCAATCTCCTGCATAGGACAAGTATGAACACGTCTACAGTTCGAGGCTGAAAAGAGTTAAATCATCTTGAACCATCTTAAACCATGTTACACTGTTACACTGTTAAACCTCAAAACAAAGGCAAAAAAAAGTGCACAGCTGTCCTGTCCAAACTTGCAAATGTGCTGCAGGAGAACCTACCAGAGTTTCTTTGCGACCATGATCCCAGGCTGGGTATACTTACAATGCTCACTTGATGCTACATCATGCTACATTCTGCTGGCCTTTGCAATAGGTGATCCTGGCCGCGCCAATGTCAAGATTCTGGTTGCCTCAACTTCAGTGATCTTCAGCAGGCATTGTCAAGTGCGTAAAGGGCGTACAGTCCCTGAGGAAGCTGCAGAGTTTGTCACAAGTTTGTGCCTCTCTGTGACAACCAGCTGGTCACTTCCACATGGTCCATACCTGGAAGCGTGCAAAGGAAGAAAGAGGAATCAAGATAAAATATGATAAAATAATTGAAGGGGAAAAGCATAAAAGTATATAAAAGTACATAAAGTATGTATATATATATATATAAAAGTCATGCTTTGAGTTGTACTGAATACAGAGCCCAAACAAGGTGGTGTTCTGCTTGCCGTGGTGAAATTGGCAGGTCTTCACAAAGGAACTTCTTCTTACATTGCCTTCAACATTCATTGAAAATTGTGGAAATACATGATGCATCATGATGCCCAAATCAGTTGATGGAACTCCGGCGACAAAAAAGTGCACCTCGCAATACCCTGCACTAAATACTTTATAGAGGTACTACAAGCGCTACAAGTAGTATGGCACGGAGGCATCATGTTAAACTGAAAATGTGAACCACATGTATAATGTTCTTTACATGGTCAAGTAAGGTCAACTATCGCAAAGCACTCTCGTACGGCCATGACTTGCAAAGGGCAAAGCATGCCTTTCCCTGGGCACGAGACTTGCACTGCCGCGGCAATGGCCTGCAGAGGAAAAAAAATACATATAGACAATATAAAGGCGGTGCGAGGATGTACAATGTATGTACAATGTATGTACAATGTATGTACAATGTATGTACAATGTATGTACAATGTTGACAATGTGCAGTTTGCTTATGAGTCCAAAGTGCTGCAAACTCTCCAGCGGTCCTGCACAGCTGCACTGATGATGTCCATGCCACATTGCAACAGACTGTTTGATTTGCAAAGTGCACATACTTGCGAGTTTAAACTGTCTGGAACTCGGACCGATTCATCCTCTGTGCTATTAGAATCTATTAGACAATGCTGTTGAAGCAAAAGTATGAGAAAGGGCCAACTTGGCAAAGCACTGGCAATGTATCCACGCATGGGCCACTTTTGAGGGTTGACTCACTCGTAGGTGTTTGGGCCGTGGATGTCACAAAAGTTTGCTATCTTGACATAGTTTGACATATTTTGACAAAAGAACCAGAAGCACGGCAAATCAATGCTTCATTCACTCGGAGACGAAAGGAGACTTTTGATCTCGAAAGAGGTGGCGAGTACATGCAGTTGCCTGAGTAGTATCATCTGGCAAACAAACACTCTAATTTGTGATGCGAATTGCCTCCAAGCCCCCAAGAGGCGGCTGCGATTGCCATGAGGAATCAAGTGAGACTGCCAAACTGCTAAAGTCTGATGACATTAAATGCACGTCTTTAATTACCTGTGCCTAGAATTTCGGCATACATATCCACACTCAGTGAAAGAGGTGGCGAGTACATGCAGTTGCCTGAGTAGTATCATCTGGCAAACAAACACTCTAATTTGTGATGCGAATTGCCTCCAAGCCCCCAAGAGGCGGCTGCGATTGCCATGAGGAATCAAGTGAGACTGCCAAACTGCTAAAGTCTGATGACATTAAATGCACGTCTTTAATTACCTGTGCCTAGAATTTCGGCATACATATCCACACTCAGTGGACGTCTCTGCGACTCAAGCCTGTCGCAAATTGGAGGAGTGCAGGCACATTGCCAACAACCCAGAATGGCAAGTCTTCCACAATCTAACCCTCTACGTATTCATTTTGTGGTAAGAAATTAGACAATAGGAACATATAATATACGATATTAATCTATATACTATATATAGTAGATTAGAGTGTAAATGGTTCTCAATGTCCAGTCCACAAGCCTTACGTCTTTTTGCGGGCTGCTTTTCAGCCTGTGGCTTCTCCTGCACCACTTAAGATCGTGCTGTACACATGGAGCCCAGGCTGGACGGCTGGTGAATGCTCAATAGATATCCATAGATCATATAGATCTCAATATGATCTACGCATATCTACGATTTCTCCGTTAAATGCTCAGTGTTATCATATACAAAAAATATAAGTGAAGTTGTCGCACTGAGTCTTCGTTCGCCTTTCCGTGACTTGAAATCTGGTTGGATCATGAATGATCGAGGCAAGTAATGTCTGCAGAAACTCAGTCCATGACCTGCTTTGCCATCTTTTCAGCTTTCGTTGGCTTGTGCTTATCGGGTTTTTCCTTCTTCGTCTGCTTGTCTTGTCGGTTTTCATTCTTATTCTCCTTGTTCTCCAGGCTCTCCTGGTTCTCATGATTTTCTTTCTCAGCCTCCTCCTCTTTCTGATTTCCATCCTCTGCATTAGCATCTTGCTTGTCTTGCAGCGATGCCACCTGCACCAAGAGGTCCTGCGCACAGATTCCAATACCAGGACTCCAGTTTCAACACGCATTTCCAGCTGTTTAACATTGTTTAGCAGTGGGAAAGTGGGAAAGAAAACAATCCTGACATCAACATGTGTGATGCATCCCTGAGCCTGATGCATCTGATGCAATCAATTTTTTATCACATTGTCTGGGGCATTCCAGGCATTCCACCTGCAAGATTCTCGGATGTTTGGTGATCTCGGGGCTGCTGCACACCAACATCAGCTCAGCAGGCTTCAGTGCCAACCTGCCATCAAATGAATCAAATGCCAGAACCATCCAGAACCAACATCCTTCAGAATTGCAAAAAATATATAACAACATATAACAACATATAACAAAAGGATATAAATGTGCAAAGTATTGAAACAGTTGTCTTCTTCCAAGACATCGAAATTCACCGGGCCTTTCATTGATTTTTTCTCGAAGAAGGCCAAGACCAAATTCCTCACACCTAGGCTTTGAAAGTTCAAGAAGACTTCAAAGAATCTTTTGAAATCTATGTCCGATAGTTTCCGAATGTGCTGGCATAGCATGTATATCAAATGCGCGATATTGTGTGGCAAAATCAATTTTGAAGACCTACTAGGTCCTTGAGTCATTGACGTCACGAGTCTTTCCAAGACATTCTCCGTGGTAAGGCCAGTGGCAAGCCATCTGGCCTAAGGCACAGTGTGCACGGGACCAAAGGTGGAAGTGATTGGCAAGTGATTAGCAAGCATGCTAGGAAGCCTGTACCTGAGGAATAGACCGCATGTTCGTGCAAGTGGCTAAAGCCAAAGCTACGTGCCAGTCGAAGGACATCCTTGTTCACCTACCAGGCAATGCACTCTCTTTTCATCATAAAAGTAAATTGTTGTGGCTTTGGTAGGATATGTGCAAGGAGCAACTCCAAGAATTCCAAAGCCTGGGCAGTTGTGGCGTTGTACTGCCAATCAGCCTTTGTAGCTCAAATATCACACTTTTCAGCTGCCAAGGCACCTGGTGTTTTGAGAACTGAGACGCCCACCCCACCGAAGCCTTTGTAAACGTAGTCAAGAATGATATGCAAGGCCTTAAGAATGGCAAGTGGCAAGCAAGAACAAAGCCTTCTGGTCAGAGGAAGCCAAAACAAGGATCTTTGCAATATACATGTATATATATATATATAATTATTATATATTTATATGTGTATATATATATTAATATTATTATATTATTTTTTTATATATTGGACTTATATTGGAATTATATTGGAATTATATTGGAATTGTGAGGGTTCGAAGACTTGTGACTTCTATACACGTGTTTAACATCTAAATACCATGCTTTGATTGAACCTTGATGACAGACTATCTTTCCGACCTCGGCAGAAGACAGGCCATTCACGTGGATGTGCATCTTCTGCTGCATCTCCTTCTCCACCTTGCAAAGGCGGCAAGAAGGCAAAGTCTCTCTGGATGAGGTTTCTGGAGCATTTTCCTCTGCCCAAAAGCACCCAGCAGAATTACGTACTGTAGATATCATGATTCATGATACTCTGCGTATATCTGAGATGTGTCAGCCTCTTTGACTTCTCTCTCCTTGTCAGTCGGGTCAGTCTGCTTTGGCGCCTGCCTCAGTCGTGCAGAACAGCCCACAGCGCAATGGGCTGGCTGTACTACCCACCATTGTAATTATCCATGATAGATCCAGCTTAAACATCTTAACTGTGAACTGGTGAAGCATGAAAAAAAACAACAAGTTATGCCTCTGTTGCACTCTGCAGTGGACATCAATGGTCAATGGATCATGTACTCTCGTTGACTGTATATTCTACTGTTTAGGCCCGCACTTTGGCTCTTCTGCCGGTTGCGAGACCTGTTGCCGGGGACGCTGGTTGGCCATTTCCGACCAATGCTCTTTCTCTGATGCTACGAGGACAAAAGAAACATGAAAGAAAGGATGACTCTCAGGGTAGGAGTCAAATATAGTCAAATGTACAGTATTGGCTGACTTTGGCTCACATCTTGCATGTCTTGCTCCATTCTGTCTTGCTCCATTCTTGGCACTATCGAACTCATTTTGCAGCTCTGCCATGCTCTGCCTCCTGAGCTTCAGCAGGCTTTGGCTCGGCTCCCGTTCCAGTCTCTGCAGGTTCGGTTGCCACGATCGTCACAGCATCGGACTCGGTCTTTCCAGGCTCAGTCGGCATGTCTGCCACATCTGCCTGTGAGTTCTTTGTGCTGTTCGTTTCGGTGACACCCTCTGCCTCGGTTGTGGCCTGACCTGTCATGCCAAGACAATGGCACGCTCATAAACACGCAAGATGAACATTTGAAGCAAACCAAATAGGGTGGACTCATTGATCGCTTAGATATTCTTTAAAGTGTCCTGCCTACTTCAATTGACGTATCTGGCTGATCCTTAGTCTTCTCATGTCTTTTCAAACAATCATTGCGTTTCCAAATCCACTGAAGTTCACATCCACTCCCAATGATCAATGAAGGCCAGGACAGGTTGTCGCTTTTGTTGAACAGAAAATAGATCCTGGGCACATCTGGGCACCAAGTCCCGGAAATAAGCTCCAGCAACCGCTCTGCAGACGGTGAGAAGGAGCAACACGCCTCCATTTCCTTTGGGCTGTCGACTGCTGACATGCTGAGTCCAAGCCTTCAGCACAATGTTGTGATTGTAGAAGGCTGGATTTTTATGAATTCGATGGAATTTGATGGAATTCGTACAATTTCGTACAAGTCATGACAAGTCCCAGCACTGAAGTGCAAACGCTGGATTCTGCCGCAGGAATGTGCAAAAACTCCCACTGCTCGCAGCCAGAACTACCTTTGGACCGACTGGACAAAGATATACAAACTTATGGTATGCCATTGGACTCTGCTCTTTGCCCATGTCACAAAAGCTCTTTGCAAAGAAGGCAGTTCCGAGTATATGGCAGCATGAGCTTCGATTCGTTCTTCACCAGCTATAAAAACTATGTCACAACCTTCAGAGGCTGTAGGAGAGAAGGTTGTGCTATTTGCAACTGATTTTGTGTTGCCTAAAAATGCTGAAAGCGACCAGTAGAAAATGAAGATAGCAGAAAACAAATGATTGAAACTGTGCAGACTGTGCCAGCCAACACTCTTTGCTTTCCAGCAGGGATCGAAGTCCTGAACATGCACATTGGAGAAATCGGATTTCTCATACTATTTGCATTCTGTGCTTTTGCAAAAACTGCGGCTTGAAAATCTCCTGCATGCAGCTCATGAGGAGTAGTAGGCCCCTCCCCCTTGACATCAAGGTCCATGGGCACAGTACCTCCGGCCGACAAAGGGGACAAAGGTCCCTCCGAATCGTCCAATCTCACCGTGACGGACCGTGACACTAGAGAAGTCCCACCTAGCGACGGCACTGCAGCTGCCATCTTCTCGGCCTGTACAAGGTGTACTTGTTGGAATCAGCATGAATCAGCCAAATTTAAAGCGCAAAGCGATGGCAAGTCATGGAACTGGTGATGTCAATTGACACAAACGTCATTACAGGGCCTCTGCTGCCTCTGCTTTGTGCATGTGCTGCGGTGTTCCCCACCTCATTGACTCTGTCTGCCATTTAGGAGCTTTTGGTCCAGTCGCAACGGTTGTTCAAGAGTGATTGAGAACAAGAATAGAAGGCTCAAACAGTTTCAAACACACAGTAGGCAGCAAATTCCAAAAGCATCCAAAAGCCCATCTGTACAATTAAAAAGGAAAGAAGCATGACAACTCGCAATAGAGTCGCGCACCACATTGGTCAGCTCTTTGGACACCCTCAGGAGAACAGGGCCAATGGCAATAGAGGGACACGCAGTGACGGTGTAAGGGCATGCAGCAGCATGCAGTTCAGTCTGTCTGCAAGTAATGCTGGGGGTCTGACTGAAAACGTGTCTGAGCACTGCGGAATAAACACTCACAATCCCTGCTCCCTAAGCTGCAAACAAAAGGCAACCGGCAGTCGCTAGGCTAGGGAGTAGTCCAACTGTCGTTTTCGTGCAAGCAAGTGCTCGTAGTGCGTATGCAATCACTCCTAGCTTTATTAGCATGAAAGGAGCTATGTTCTGAATCTCCCGAGCGTGTCTTTTTCTCCCGAACACGAAGGGGTGCATCGTTCTGTGCATGGCAGGGAAAAGAGCCGCCAAAAGCCACCAGTGTGCTGGCACTTAAAGATTTCTTAAAATCTTGGATTGAACTGGATAAAGCACGGAAGTCGATCAACTCACTTCTCGCGAAGCTTGACATCAAGCTTGTCAGCAGCAGCCTGTGCTTGCGACATGTTGTGACTGTCTGAGCCGCCAGGGTCTCAGTTTGTCACCACAGATGAACGCCAACACCTGTCCCTCTGCATGTTAAGACTGTGAAGATCTGTTCAGCAATATCAGCAATGGAGCATTGATGCTGACATATGCTGACTGAACCATCCACTGCCGTACACTCGATTACACAACGGCACTATCCAAAATATCCAAAGCAATACTCCGTAGCAGCCATGACGCACGCCTGAGCCAACTCCAGTGCTGTCTGCCGAGCCCAGCTTTGAATGCCGATGACCTGCACCACTAAAGTCATCTAAAGTCGCTAGATCCAATGGATTCCAAGTGATTCCAAGTGTCAGACACTCTGATCATCTCTGATCTCTGATTACTTAGGGTTCTTCAAATCACTAAGTAATGATGCAAAATGATGCAAAATGATGCAAAAGTCTGGTGATAATTTTCTGACCAACAAGTCATCGCATCATATCGGACATGACGCCTGATCCAATCCAGCAGCCTCCACAGCATCGGTCACAACATCCTAGAAGTACCGGAAAGTACGACGTGACCCCATGCTGCAACAATTCATCAACATCAGCACTCACACAGATTTTAGATGTTTTGCATTTGTTCAATCATGTTCAATCTATGCAAACTGTAATACAGATCAAGCAGACTCACAACCTTCATCAAACTTCAGTAACTCTGAAAGGTGTCTGGATTCAAAAATTTCAAGGAGCTTCACAACAGGCCAACCCATCACCCAACTGTCCATCGAGAGCTCTCGGAGTTCCTGGCGTCTAGGTGAAAAAATGCTGGATGAAATGACAAGAATAGTTGAAAACCTAAGAACTTAGAAATAATTGAAAACCTAATATATATATATGTATATATATATTATATATATATACAAAAAAAAGTGAGAGCATTTAGAATGACTGACTGATACTGATGCAGACAAGTTGAAGGAATGCCAGAACTTGCGGTCTGCGTAAGCACAAATACATGGATCAATCAATGTTCATCAATGTTCATGAAAAATTCTACATGATCAATATACATCATGTCACATGAGCATAAAGTAAAGACACGACACTGCAGGCTGCAATGGTTCCTTTGCTTCAAGGGTCTCGCCAGCTCTGAGAATCAACCGCCGAGTGATCGAAGTCCTGGGAATGCCGCAGCAACGGCTCCAATGACGAAATGTCGAAAATGAAAATTAATTGGGTACCCATATATGAAACATTATGAAACTATACATGAATCACATGAAACTGAAACTTAACATGATAGTGAAATCCTATGAAACTCTCGACAGTTCTCAACTGCTTCAATGGCAATACATGCAATACATTTCAGGAGCTCTGTCGATAGTGGTCTTCTTGTAGATTGATCTTGGAGATATATCATGATATACTCTCTAGGGAACAAACGTATCCACTTTTTTTGTGGAAAATATTCTTTTTTGGATACGTTAGCTGCTGTGAACATAGGCTATGATAAATGCCCTATACTAGAGACATGTTAGTTGAAAATCCAGAATGGACATGTTAGTGGAAAAGTTGTTCCCCCCTCTGGGGGTTCCCGGGAACTGCCAGAAGACTACCGCCCCGGACGCCCCAGCATCTTTATTTCCAGACCCCAATAGGGCTCAAATCAAAGACTGCATTGAGAACAAAACGGTGGAGAAAAAAGGGGACCCAACTCCTTCCGGAAGAGCGCATCATAGATGATGCCCGTGGGTGGGCAGGAAGATTGGGGGTGCATTCCAAAAACCATTTGCATTTACTAAGGGTTGGATGACTAGCCATGGAAAGCGTCCACTTAACGTGTCCGTGTTGTTCAGAGGATGTGGTTTTGAGATATGTGAGTGGTTATTGGCTGAATCTATCCCCCCAAAATAGCGAACATATCCCAGATCAGGGTCGAAATCCAAGGGCCCCAATTGCAGGAACTGAGACATGTTAGCTGTTTTTTGGGTCAATGGTCCCCAAAAAGGTGCAATACATTCCCCAGGAAATCCAGGAAAACGCTGGTACAGAGTGGACATGTTAGTTGATACCTGAAACGGTAGCCCGAGACACGTATCCACTTTTTTGTGGAAAAAAAGTTTTTTTGGATACGTTAGCTGCTGTGAACATAGGCTATGATAAATGCCCTATACTAGAGACATGTTAGTTGAAAATCCAGAATGGACATGTTAGTCGAAAAGTTGTTCCCCCCTCTGGGGGTTCCCGGGAAACTGCCAGAAGACTACCGCCCCGGACGCCCCAGCATCTTTATTTCCAGACCCCAATAGGGCTCAAATCAAAGACCGCATTGATAACAAAACGGTGGAGAAAAAAGGGGTCCCAACTCCTTCCGGAAGAGCGCATCATAGATGATGCCCGTGGGTGGGCAGGAAGATTGGGGGTGCATTCCAAAAACCAGTTGCATTTACTAAGGGTTGGATGACTGGCCATGGAAAGCGTCCACCTAACGTGTCCGTGTTGTTCAGAGGATGTGGTTTTGAAATATGTGAGTGGTTATTGGCTGAATCTATCCCCCAAAATAGCGAACATATCCCAGATCAGGGTCGAAATCCAAGGGCCACAATTGCAGGAACTGAGACATGTTAGCTGTTTTTGGGTCAATGGCCCCAAAAAGGTGCAATACATTCCCCAGGAAATCCAAGAAAACGCCGGTACAGAGTGGACATGTTAGTTGATACCTGAAACGGTAGCCCGAGACACGTATCCACTTTTTTTTGGTGTTTTTTTTGGGATACGTTAGCTGCTGTGAACATAGGCTATGATAAATGCCCTATACTAGAGACATGTTAGTTGAAAATCCAGAATGGACATATTAGTGGAAAAGTTGTCCCCCCCTCTGGGGGTTCCCGGGAAACTGCCAGAAGACTACCGCCCCGGACGCCCCAGCATCTTTATTTCCAGACCCCAATAGGGCTCAAATCAAAGACTGCATTGATAACAAAACGGTGGAGAAAAAAGTGGTCCCAACTCCTTCCGGAAGAGCGCATCATAGATGATGCTCGTGGGTGGGCAGGAAGATTGGGGGTGCATTCCAAAAACAAGTTGCATTTACTAAGGGTTGGATGACTAGCCATGGAAAGCGTCCACCTAACGTGTCCGTGTTGTTCAGAGGATGTGGTTTTGAAATATGTGAGTGGTTATTGGCTGAATCTATCCCCCCAAAATAGCGAACATATCCCAGATCAGGGTCGAAATCCAAGGGCCCCAATTGCAGGAACTGAGACATGTTAGCTGTTTTTGGGTCAATGGTCCCCAAAAAGGTGCAATGCATTCCCCAGGAAATCCAAGAAAACGCCGGTACAGAGTGGACATGTTAGTTGATACCTGAAACGGTAGCCCGAGACACGTATCCACTTTTTTGTGGAAAAAAGTTTTTTTGGATACGTTAGCTGCTGTGAACATAGGCTATGATAAATGCCCTATACTAGAGACATGTTAGTTGAAAATCCAGAATGGACATGTTAGTGGAAAAGTTGTTCCCCCCTCTGGGGGTTCCCGGGAAACTGCCAGAAGACTACCGCCCCGGACGCCTCAGCATCTTTATTTCCAGACCCCAATAGGGCTCAAATCAAAGACCGCATTGATAACAAAACGGTGGAGAAAAAAGGGGTCCCAACTCCTTCCGGAAGAGCGCATCATAGATGATGCCCGTGGGTGGGCAGGAAGATTGGGGGTGCATTCCAAAAACCAGTTGCATTTACTAAGGGTTGGATGACTGGCCATGGAAAGCGTCCACCTAACGTGTCCGTGTTGTTCAGAGGATGTGGTTTTGAAATATGTGAGTGGTTATTGGCTGAATCTATCCCCCCAAAATAGCGAACATATCCCAGATCAGGGTCGAAATCCAAGGGCCCCAATTGCAGGAACTGAGACATGTTAGCTGTTTTTGGGTCAATGGCCCCAAAAAGGTGCAATACATTCCCCAGGAAATCCAAGAAAACGCCGGTACAGAGTGGACATGTTAGTTGATACCTGAAACGGTAGCCCGGGACACGTATCCACTTTTTTTGGTGTTTTTTTTGGATACGTTAGCTGCTGTGAACATAGGCTATGATAAATGCCCTATACTAGAGACATGTTAGTTGAAAATCCAGAATGGACATATTAGTGGAAAAGTTGTCCCCCCCTCTGGGGGTTCCCGGGAAACTGCCAGAAGACTACCGCCCCGGACGCCCCAGCATCCTTATTTCCAGACCCCAATAGGGCTCAAATCAAAGGCTGCATTGATAACAAAACGGTGGAGAAAAAAGTGGTCCCAACTCCTTGCGGAAGAGCGCATCATAGATGATGCTCGTGGGTGGGCAGGAAGATTGGGGGTGCATTCCAAAAACCAGTTGCATTTACTAAGGGTTGGATGACTAGCCATGGAAAGCGTCCACTTAATTGTCCGTGTTGTTCAGAGGATGTGGTTTTGAGATATGTGAGTGGTTATTGGCTGAATCTGTCCCCCCAAAATAGCGAACATA